TATATACACATACGCCAGCGCGCGCGCGTGCATGTACACTTACGTAACTGGCGCAAAAAAGGCATTTTGTCATAAGCGCTCATACGATCGCAATATGACTTTTGTGTGTGTGTGTCTGCGTGTGTGCGTGTGTGTGTGCGCGTGTAAAAATTTATCATGCTTGCGTGCGTGCGTGCGTGCATGCGTGCGTGTACGTGCATCTATTTCCACGCATACGTATACCTGTACATATATACATAGATAAAATGAATAAAGCTATTGTTATTACGGAACGGAAGAGACTGGAATGTATGCAAGCTGCACTTTCGAGAGGCTGCATCTTCTTCGACAACTGTACAATCATGCGGGGGCGACTCGCCTTGTCTAAAAAAAAATTACCCTATATAGAGTACTAATTAGCCCTTTTCTGATCGCGCGTCTGCGTATGTGTCCGCAAATGAATAAATCCGCGTATGCTCAAGCCTACACAGATACTCATACTCGCTGATATATAATATATACACATGGTAATATATCACTATACATATAATACATAAATATATAATGCATATATACATGTCGGAGAAAGGAGACAAGAGACAGTTTATATGCGCTATTATTTCCAAGTTGCAGTATCGATGTATCCAGTTAGGACCATTCTTCGGCTACGAGAAAGAGCTCGCAACGATTTTTGCGCGAGAAATAAGAATGAAAGTCGAGCGAGTAACTCCTTTGACTGTAAGCTTTCTTAAATCAGACCCCCTTACCCCTTCCCTCTTTCTCACTTTCTCGCTTGAAGATTAGGGGCCTAAGTTGTGTTTTTATCCGGCCCCGCGTATTGTCGAGCTCTAAAACCGAAAGAGAATGATCTATCGCAAGTTACAGAGATGAATTGTACCACATACACGCCACTTATATATATGTATATATTTAAAGACACTAATGGCTTATTAGTGTCTTTAAAAATATCTGGTTGGGACATACAATCTCTGTAAATGCAAAGAAAGTTGCTCGATAAAGGCGATACTATGCGGCTGCTTTTTCGAAATAAAGCGTAATACATTAGATACATTCGTTAGCCAGTTGCTTTCAATCGTATGTCATCTATATCATAAAAAATGCGTCTTTGAGTACCTTGCGGAAAGTAGACGAATCTAAAGAGATTGTAATTTATGTGCAAACTTAATACATTGTATATGACATACACATATAATATATGATATTAGGAACTGTTTTTCTCTGCAAATTGCTAATTGCAAAATTACTGAAATTGATTTGCTGAAAATTGCTGAAAACAATTTCAAAAAAATTTATTATATTTAATCAAAATAATTTTAATTTAAAAATATATAGCAACTACATAGAAACGGTTCAATACAAGTTAAATTATAAACACAAATAAAATAAAATTTAAATAAATAATTTATTTATTGGAAAAATTGAATAAATTTAAAGCATTTATGTTATTTTCTTAATTATAGCTACTTTCATAATTATGCAATTATGTATTAATTAAAATTTTAAGATCTATGAAATTAAAGTAAAATTATGTACAATTTTATAATCAGTATAATAAAATAAGAAAATAATTAAATTTAAAGCAATAAAAACAATTCTTGAGAAAAATAATTTCGTAAATTCAGAAATTTGTAGGTTCGCAAAAAAAAAGTTTTGTTATTTCAATTTTCGCATATTTTCCGCAGGATAAAACAAAAATTATCTTTGTGAAAAGGACTCATTGCAAAAATCATTTTATAAAAGACATAATAAAGAGAAGAAATCTCACACGAGACAAGCGTACACATCGGACTTACATATATCGAGCTTAAAATATTTTATGGTCTAGACGAATAGTTGGCGATATCGTGATTTCGTATTAAAATAATAATTCTCCATCATTCGCAGTTTATATAAAAAACCGCAGAACGACCTACATTAGTCCATTGCTCTTCGCGTGTAAAACAGAAAGGATGAATTAAAGGAAATCGAACAGCGACCTATTCTGATTAACTCTGTAAAATAACGATTTAGAATTTCTCTGAATGAATCGCTAATATCTCCTTTAATTCATCCGTTTCTTGCAGAGCAATTACTTAGGATATTAATAAATGCCATAAAATGTTTTACACGATTTAATGATATAGATGCCTCGGGGATTCTTTCCGCAATTTAACTGCAACTTATTTCCTTTACTTATAATTTTCTCTTGCCACTGCATACTTTTTATGCGATAACGACATTTCCGCGATAGGCCATTTCTCATATTCTGCTCCCGTGAAATACGATTGTGCACGTCTTACTTCGCTTTACCCTTAATTATAAATAATTAAGAGTCTGTTGCAACGACTACGATTAATTAATTACAATCGACAATCTTTTATTTCTTTGTTTTCAAATCATAGTCTTAATTGCAATATTTAGAACAACCACGTCTTGCCACTTTCTCTTAGTAACAAAAGTTCAAAAAAATTTCAAAATTTTTAAAGTAACAAATAAATTATCCTACAAATTAATCTTTAATTAAGTTTTTTTAGATTAAAATCCATGCAAATTTAAGCAAAGAAAATTTTATTGTTCATTTATTTTTAAAGTATAATTGTCAAAAATTTTTCAATTTTTAACATTAAACAAGTGTCAATGTATCAATGTACATGGAAAGTATTTGTATATTTCTTTATATAAATAAATTTAACTTTTTAACTACAGTACAGTCGACTGGAAAAAACGGCGATAATTGCAAGACATTTATAAATGGAAAAAATAAACTTATTTAATTAAAATAAATACGAAAGTCGATGCAACAGACCCGAAAGAAATGTACATTATCAATGCGCGATACTGATCTATCGAGACATTATAATTATAACACAATCTTTAATAATTTTAGGTCAGTCTTGAATTGAAATGCGTACTGGAAAATATTTCTTATTTCGCTCTCCGCCTGACTCGAAGGCGCGCAACTCGTCAATACACAACGTTGTTAATAATATATTGTAGTATATAATTATAGATAATAAAACAAACGAAATAATTAGAAATGTTAAAACGTTAGAAAATTGTTGTTATTTCCGTTAGAACATTATCCCCCCCCCCCTCTCTCTCTCTCTCTCACTCTCTCTCTCTCTTCTTCTTCGTATATTATTTCTATACGTAAATATATTCGTCTTCGTATTAAATTGTTTCTAAAACGCTTGGTCAAGCGGTCAACATGACCGGTTTGTAATTTTTTAGAATAATTATTTAAATTACTAGTATTAAACTTTTTAACTACCTTCCCCCCCCCCCCCCCCATTACTTAGATACAATAAAAATTATTTTAAGTATTATATTACACATTTTATATGATACTTACAAAACAAATTTTATTACGAAAATTGTATGATATTTTGCACGACAATGATGAGGAGCGGTTTATCACATTACGTAAAGAATGGTACGGCGTACGTGTGTCATTGTTTACATTCCATTCTACCACTATCTCTTTCTATTGTGTTATACATTCTGTTATCCTTAACGTACCCCTACCTATTGTTAATCGCACGGCGGCACTCGAATGGATCGGATCGTTCTCTATCGGCGCGTTACCTCCTCCAATACTACTCCTTACTACTTTCCAACTCCCCTCCCCCTTTCCATCGTTACCTGTTGCATATACGGCAGGGTGTTGAACATGTATTCCGTGCGATACGAATTCGAGTTTTACTTTTGTCTTAACATGGCAAAATACGCGTCGGAAGTGTCGTGTGAATTACGGAATAAACAGCAATAAAATTAGCATTTTGTATAATTATGTGAGTATAATGAATAAATTTACTCACCGAACGTTGTAATCTAAGTACGCCCTCAGCTTTACCTGGAAAAATTAATATATATTTGAATCATTAAAAATTCTTATACATATGCTAATTATTATGTATTATTTAATTATTTCTATTTTAAATAGAACAAGTATATTGAGTAAATTGTGTTAATAATTATTTGAAAATTTAATTAATATTCAATAAATGTCTCAGTAAATATTTTTATAAATATCTTATAATAATCATATATATCATAAATACACCCGTACAGATTGTGATTATATATATGTGTTATTACACAAATTATGTACATATTTGAATAATAAACAAATAATTATGCTCACCAGCTAGGTTATTGCAGTGCTTCACCCGCTGCAGATTCCATTTTACAATTGAACTATTCCGCATCAGCTCCATCGGAGAATCGATGAACATCGAAATTCACTTGTAGTTACACACACTATCAAACAAAACTCACTCGTGCACTTCACTTACGCGAAAATACGTCGCAAATTTTCAAAATACTACATCTAACGAAATTAACCTACACCGCGCGCTCAATCAGTGATCGAAATCTACGTATTCACTGGTATTATAGCACTGTACATTGCATTTCGATCCACGGGACAGCAAGAAATCAACATTTGATCATACACAATCGACGTTTGATCATACAACAATGGACGAAATCTCATTAATCGCGAACACCTGCAGTAAATAATACGCGATAAATAATTATCTTTCCGGCAATCGCTCGTCACTTTAATTAAGATACTCCGGATAAAAACTCGCAGTACAATAACCAACAAAACGTCGCGACGCGATACATTGCGGAACACTCGCGAATATCATGAACACCCGTATTAAATAATACGTTCCGATAATTGCTCACTATTTTAATCGATATTTCTAACAAAAATTATACTTACTATACATTTTTAACAAATAAAATACGCGGTTAATCGCGAAACACTCACATACCGAACTGACGTATCGTAAAAATGAAAACTATGTGTCATGGCAGCCGAAAATATGGCGCGAAAAGCGCGCTGCATCAATCGGTAATATTGTTAATGATCCTAACGACATAACATTAATTGTCGTTAATAGAAAATTTATTGTAGCAATTCAAAAGAGGGCGCACATTGATCAACATCGATTGGCAGTATGGCCAACGATGTGACATAATTAGAGCCATGGCATATAGGAAACGTAAGAAGTAAGACTTAGGTAGTCAGTAAATTGGCCAATCACAGTTGAATATCTTCGACTGTGATTGACTAATTTGTTTGCTGCTAAAATCTTACTTATGTCTTTTCTATGCTCCTTGGCCTTACAAATTTCAATATTGGTAGTATTGCCGATCACCATAATGTGCAATTTATGTCATTACTGAACGGTTCAGAATGCAGAGCGGGAATATTTTATCATTAATCGCCTATTTTATCCATTAGAAGTGCAAGTCTTGATCGGGTTTCGATCGGGTTTTTGATCGGGTTTTTTGATCGGGACCCGATCGGGTTTTTGATCGGACCCGATCGTGTTTTTGATCCGGACCTGATCGGGTTTCTGATCGGGACCCGATCGGGTTTTTGATCCGGACCCAATCGGGTTTTTGATCGGGACCCGATTGTGTTTTTGATCCAGACCCGATCGGGTGTACTCATCAGGACCCGATCACTCTTGCCTGATCAGTTTCTTATCGAAACCTTATTAATATTTCTACTCGGGTCCCGATTGGGTGTACTCATCAGGACCCGATCACTCTTGCCTGATAAGTTTATTATCGAAACTTTATTAATATTTTTACTCGAGTCCCGATCGGGTGTACTCATCGGGATCCGATCACTCTTGCCTGATCAGTTCCTTATTAATTAGGATCCTTATCTGGTGATTATGAGATTTATTAATTATTATTATTTTGTGAGGCAGCTAGAGGATTTACTACAGTAAAATTAGTACCTGGAAAAATAAATTTCAAAATACGATTTTATATAATTGTAATAAGGTATGTTTTCTTTATGTTTCTTTTTTTTAATATTGTTTTGTGTGTGGTAATATTTTTGTGATATTTTAGATATTATCTCGCATTATAATGTATTATCATCAAAAGAAGAAATTCAAGACTCAAGTTATTTAATAATGTAAGGTATTGAGATGGTACGTGCCAAAAACATCGCAACACAATGATAGAATAAAATCCAATAATCTGTATTTCGTTTAGCCCCGTTATGTATTACATACTATATATCAATATGCTATGTTAAATAAAAATATATAAACTTTATCGAAATTATTCGTATTACACATTTTCTGTGTGTGTGTGACGTAATCTTTAATAATTATAATAATGATATTATCATATTTAATAATTTAATAATTAATAAGCCTATACCTCATAATCACCTCATAAGGGGCTTGTTCGTTTTAGCTACACTGGGGCTGCTCTGGGTCTGCTCTACACAGGATAATACAGAACAGATAAATAGTTTGTCCTGTATTATCTTGTTTAGAGCAGACCCAGAGCTGCCCCAGTGCAGCTAAAACGAACAAGCCCAAGAATTACTCGATCCACTCTTAAAAAAGGCATGAAAGATCGATACTCGAATGTATCGGAAGTATTGTTGATGCTTTTTCGCGACGCTGATTGGTTATCACGATTATTCTGATAGTTTGATAAATTGAGAGCGAAGGTTATTTTGACGGTTATTTAAAATAAAAAAATTTATTAAAATATTTAGATTTCTTAATTATTAAATTACTATAATAAGTACGCGCGCGTAGCGCGCGCCTGTATTGTTCTAGTAACTATAAAAATATGGTTGATTGAGCTATAATCCGTATGGTTGAATTAACTATAAAAATATGGTTGAATCACCCTGATAGCCAAGCATGTTTTGCAAAATCATGCAACTTAATGCTGAGCATGAATTTTCGACTAGTTGCTGTATATTTGCTAAAAACGTAATGCATAGTCATACGTATTCAACAACACGAGGGCAGATTTGAAACATTTCGTGTCAACAGATTCAGAGAAACGGAGAGTTTGGTAATATTTACCAAACACTTCGATAATTATTTAAAAATAATCTGTTTATACTTATCAAATTCTTTGATAATATTTATCATTACTTGTTAATAATCATCAAATTTTGCTACAATTATTTGTTAACATTAACCAAATTATTTTGTCATTATTACCAATATGTTTAGTTGAAACTATGTCATCAAAGTTCTTAGTAATTTTTATCAAGTTTGGGTTATTATAACCAATCCTTTTTTTCAGTGCACTGAAAAATTTGATACGACTTATTAAAATTATTGAATTTATTGTTGTTGTTGCCTGTTGCTGCTTCAAAGCAGTCTCCATGATTTTTCTGGCAAAAGCTACATCTGAGAGTAAAGGAGGACATTACAAATAAATTAATATGAACATACAGACTATTGTTTAGGGTTATGATGGTCCTGGAAAAATTTATCGACTAAAATTTCTTGATATGTAAAAAGTATATGACTTACTATTTTGAGCGCGAACGACATCTTCTTCTGATAAATTTACTTCTATAACTGTGTCGCTTTCAGTAAAACGGAATTATTTGCGACGACATTGTCACTGTCAAACACTACGAACAGTTTAAAAACACGCGCGAAAATGGCTACGATCACGACGACCCACGTTTGAACCACGGACATGCATTAATTACCAAAATATATTGCATGATTTATTTTTGTACATTAATCTTCATAGCTTATAATTAATTTTAAAGATTTCATATTGTCTTTTGAATATCCAAACTTTACTAAGATCTTGTTTTTATATGAAAAAAATATTATCATAAATTGAAGACTAAAATGATAAGAGAATAAGATAATCTTATAATGCTTAGCATTCGCTTTACAAAAAAATGTTCAAGTAGTAAAAAATTATTTTAAAAATAAATCGTTAGATACATTGCGTTAAATATATACATTTATTTGCATTATAATACATATTTATTTAATTATTGCAAAAATTCTTACCGTAGATGACTATAATTTGCAATATGCTCATCGTTACTATCGCACAAAACTAGATCTCACAAAATAATCAAGTTTCTGTAGATTATTTAGTTGAAACTCTGGTGCGTTTATTCCAAGAGAAATTCATTCCATAGCTGCGAGGTTTCGGTTGACTGATATTTGGCTTCTGCACATAATAGTCCCATCCCATTTTCTTGCAGTGTGCAATTGCTTCCTCCTTCGTCGCAAAATCAACTTGGATGTTTGACATAGGATCTCCACTGTATAAAAAATATAAGTGTAACTATAAGAAACTATTTATACATTTTAATATATATCTCAAGTATCACATAGGCAATTCAAATTTTAATATTTATTAATATTTACCTAGAAGTCCATCCCATCAATGGATTCTCCCAGCGCTCACGTGTATCAAAGTCCAATTGCCAAAAGTGAATATTATTCGTTCCCGATTGCATGGCACTCTTAGCAGGTTGGTAAATCCGTACTTTACGAGTCTTGATATGCTCCTCAGGCACTCCAGATACATAGCCTACATCTTCGTCAGTCACAGTAATAGGACTTTTCAAAGCTTGTATATACTGAGCTTCTGATTGTGTCAGTGTAGTTTCTTGAAAATTTTTGCGCTGTGGTATATCTGGTTTCTTTTCTACCTCTGTAGATTTGCTTGAAAGTAACCTGCTCAGTCTGTAAGTAAAGTTCTCTTTTAGATAAATTTGTAAATATTACAATTTTATTCAATAAGTCTGACAATAAGAGTTATTATGTAAAATTGTAAGGTTATATCCTACTTATTTTCTTAAATACAGGAAAAAATTATTTAAGAAATAATAAAATTAAGTTATACGTACCCAGCACTGTTTTTGCTAATCCCGTCTGCACATTGTCGTAGTAATATGCGAGATGCCATTCTTTAAAAATGCAATAAATGACAAATCAGATGACAAAACAAACGATGCAAGGAGAAGAAACTGCCATGTATCGTCGACAGTTAGTGCTGTCATCTGACTTGTGGAAGCAAAATTACTATTACGCATTATATGACTGCTACATTCAAAGTATATTCTTGTAAATTATTCGTATGTTTATTTTTAATTATTGTAAACAAAATAAAATAGAAATACTAATAGAAGTCTTACATAAATTATCTCTTGAATTCTATTATCTCTTGAAATATTTTTTTTGCTATCAAATAATGCAAAACTTTTGTTACAAATCTATTCATTTAAAAATTAAAATTAGGTAGAAAAATTTAGTTTATATTATTTAAAGATAAATATTATTTTTATTAAAAAGTTGTTTGAATTTATTTTAATAAGATATTACTCTTTTAAATATATTTAATTTTATCATTTAAAAAAATATATTTTTTTACAACTAATTTTTTAATATTTTAATATTGTTACTCATCAATCGTTAAGCTCATAGTGCTTAAATATTTAGATACTAATTTTACAATTAAATTTTTGCATACTTTATAAAAATTTTTTTTATTACTTCCACATCCTATTTTGACGCATGCTATTAAGAGATCACACAATTCATGCGTTATAAGCTGTTATAAGCTCTTGCATGACGATCGATCTCGTCACGGATTCAGACTGACCTACCCTTAATGATATTAACAAATATCGGGATGGATATACGCATGCTCGCTCCTTCCTTCCCTTCAGGAACTGCATCACGTAGGGATAATGCTTTGCAAGTGGCACCGCGGCGGCAAATGCAGTTCGCGTGGGCTCGCCACCCCTTCGGCGCTTTTTGCATGTAATCCGGAATCGAGAACGAGGTGGTGTGTTTTATGCGACATGGCAGAAATGAAGGAGCATGTAAGTGAACAAACGTATGAATAAAAAATTTCATAAAATATTTGGTATCACAGTGCTGTTGTAGCGACAAGTGTTGCATTTAATAAACATGGAAGTATTCAAGTCTTGCCTGAAAAGTATAATTAACTGAAACAGAAATATTCATTTATTTATTTACAAAATACATTTATTTATTTAAAAATAATTATATTGATTCGGTAAAATTAAAATTTAACGATTAAAATAACGATAAAAATTAAATTAAATCCTGCAAAAAATAAGGACTGACAGGAACCAATAAAAATTTCTGGAAGTTAAATCTTTTTTTTTTTAATAAAAGATAATTTATTTCATATACGAAACGATTGTGTACATAATGTATTCTCCTTTTGCAGGATAGAACTACATTATGTTTCTTATTGATATTCGCGCTGTGCACGAGAGTATATTCGACAGACGCCAGGCATATAATTACCAAGAGAAATTACAGCGATCAAAGTGTGAGAGGCTATCTAGCAGAGGTAAGCGATTAAAGTTGAATTTTGCGACATAATGTATACAACAAAAGCTGTCCAATTTGTAATATTATACGAATGAGCAAGTGTACGATTTTATTTAACTTTTTATATAACGAATTCTTTCAGAGAACCTGTTGGTGGAATGAAGTGTGCAAGGAGGAATTTCACAGTAAGTTCCGATGTCGTTGCCCGAGATGGTCCTATTGCCGTGCACCAGGAAGATATTACGATGCACACTGCAGCATGACTCGCACAGGCTACATATGGACCCAACCGGAAACGTCGCTGAGCCTGGAAATCGATAAATAAACACGACGCTATGAAGTATCAACTCTGCGAAAAGTAAGTGGATTCTCCATAAGAATATTTTGCAAAATTAGAAATTTTTTGTCATCGAAAGAGATAGTAAAATATTATTATAAAAATTATTTATTTCTATTTATTTAATTCCATAAAAAAAAATTTTTTTAAATTAATATTAAAATGTCTACTTTTTTACAGGAATGGCAATACAAAGGAAATCAAATCTCTCTCCCTTTCTCTCTCTCTCTCTCTCTCTCTCTTGTTCAAAATCAAAATCAGTGATCATTAGAGTTTATGCAGATTGTTTATTCACCAGTTAAAATATGGCACAATTGTTGGAATGCAATTTTCTATTAATAGCTTCGTTTAGGAAGGAAATTGTAACGTTGCATAATACTCAGAGAAGAATGGTTCAGAGAATGGTTCTGCATGCAAGACACTTGGGACATTTGGCCCAAAGCAATATAATTTATTGTAAGCATTAGCACATCGACGAACATTTACGCTGCCAAGAGTTTATAATTACTGTGTTATATGAACTCGTTGTGATCACTATTAATAAAGTTCTAAAAGAATAAATTTTGAATAATTCACTTATTGTCATATAATTCACGCAAATCATATAAATTTAAAAATTTTTTAATTTTTAATTTTTTTAATTTAATATATTATTATATTATTACTCTTTTATTGTTTTAATTTTATATCTATTTCTTATATTTATTTTCAAAAAATTATAATTGCCACTTAATTCTTGCCTTTAATGTATGGCTATAATTTATAAATATGTAATTAAAACTCTTAAACATATAATTATTCTTTATTGAAATAATGTCAAATTTAATTTCAAATTATCTTTAATACTTTCTGTGGTGTTAACGTATTATATGTGCGTATCTGGACCGAATATTATTACACATTACTGAGTTATTGATTGTCCTGTGAAAAGATACAAACTCTGACGTCAATGGTTTCCAGGATACGTTACCCAGCGCTCCTTCCCACTTTCCTAGGACGGCAACTAGGACACCTGCGCGAAAATATCGATCGGCACCTGTCTGATTGTGTCGACAGACTCTTTCTCAAGATTGTGGACCAGTAGTTAATTTTGAACTGGTGCAACAACTGTTTCTCGCCAGCTACCGTTTACTTGACTATTTATTTTGCTTTGCCATTGACAGAATTGCAATTTGGAAAAGGTATTTGATTCAACTAAAACAAAAAAAAACACATTTTTTAAGCTAAATTAGTGTAATCAGATTATCAAATGCGCTATTGCGCATGTCAAGTGTCGAAGACTCGAATCTCTTTGTTTTTGTCTAATTATATTATTTATTCGAATATTGATTGAGTTTTTGCTTTACTTAATGCATATACTTGACATTGTATTTCCAAGTTCTGCCAATTTTAAATTCGTTATCGATTCAGTCATCCAATTTTAGACCTCGTTAACTGAGATACTTCTATGGAAGAGGATGGAAACGATGGCGGACAGACACAATCAGCTGCGACGATTTTTCTCAGTGCTTCTAATAGTATTATTTAAAGGAGTCACGTCTTATACGGACAATAATGACTTGGATGCAAATCGTTTCGGCGTACATAATGAACTTTCTCGATCCTTCCCTGTAAGTATGTCCAAATAATTATCACATTTGATAATATAAATTCTTGTACCATGATATTATACATTCTTATATCATAATATTTGAATGATATTTAGGTATACAAACTTGAAAAATTAATAACCACCGTAGATTCTTTTTCACTTCAATTTTTACTAACCATTATAATTTTGCAGGATAAATTTTCGGAATTGCATGATGCACCATTTCCCGTTGAAAATCGTCACTGGCACAGTCCCAAAAATCTTGGTGAAGTTTCCGGAGTCGCAGTGAGCCCCACAGGGGTTGTCATGATTTTTCATCGTGGAGATCGAACATGGGATTACGAGTAAGAATTTTGAATAAAAATTAACGAATGTTTATGATGCATTCAATGAATTTTTAGCACCTTCAACGAAAATGCAGAATATCAAGAAAAATACAAGGGTCCTATTCGTGATAATACAATATTAGAATTGGATCCTAACACTGGGAATATTATGCGCGGTTGGGGAAATCAGACATTCTATCTACCTCATGGAATTTACGTTGATAATTCGGAAAACGTATGGCTGACTGATATTGCTCTCCATCAAGTATTCAAGGTATGTATTTACAATTTACAAGATTTTATCATTTTATTTATAAACGTATATTAAAATTTAAATAGATAAATAAAATAATTAGTAAGTTGATAAAGGACACTTTGCTGACTAACGATTTATCAAAATATGTAATTCTTTTATATATAGTTGTTGCTAAAAATATTATTTTTGACCAATTATATTCGTAACAATTATAGTATTCAGCTTTCGGAGATGCTCAATTAGTTCTCGGTCAAAAATTTGAGCCTGGAAATGACATGGAACACTTCTGTCAACCAACCTCTGTCGTCGTTTTACCGAATGGCGAGATTGTCGTCGCTGATGGATACTGTAATAGTAGGATAGTATTGTTTGACAAAAGAGGCAAACCGAAGTACAGTATTGGCGAAGGTACATTAAAATAAATAATAATCAATCTTAAATTTTCTATTATCTTTAAATTTGTTTGTATCCGTAATTAGCAATCAATTATATCTTATACGAAAGAAGTATGCATATAATAGTGATGCACAAATTTATGAATAAAGAACAGTGTTTATTTTTTTTGTTTATTTTAAATATTTTAATATGCCAGAGTATTCTTATGGAAATTTTACTACAAGATATATCAAATTTTTTTATTATTTAATTTTATTTTAAATAAAAAACAATGTATTTGCATCTAGAATGGATTTCCTTGAGAGTTCCGCACTCCCTGACAATTTTATCGAATGAACAAGTATGCGTAGCAGATCGCGAAAATTCAAGAATCGTATGTTTGGATGTGACACTTTCCGGATTGAGCCGACATTTCGAACCTCCCTATTCAATTCGTCATCAACAATTTGGTCGCATATTCGGTATTGCATCCTATCGTAAGTAATTTATGACCATTTTTGCGCATTATTAATTTTTGTTAAAATTATTCTTCATAAAATAAAATTAAGTGTAGAATTCTGTATCTAATATATTTTTACTTTAAAAATTTTGAAAACAAATTTTATTCTAACATAAGACAGAAAGTATTAATGTTATTATAAGAGAAGAATTATCAATTATATTAATTATATTCTTTAGTGAAATGTAATAATATCAGAATTTCACATTTTGCATTCATTTTTTCAATTTTTATTATTTGTTAATAGTATTCTGTAAAATAAAAATATATTTAAGAAATTTATTAACCAAAACAAAAGGAGTAAGTTGTAAACATTTTTATATTGAATATTTAAGGTAATTTTATTTATGCTGTCAATGGTGTAACATCTAGAAACACTGAAGTTATGGGCTTTATCATTGATCCCTTAAATCGAAATGTAACAGGATTTTGGGGTCCAGGATCTTCAGTGAGTATTTATAATAGACATATTTTGTAATTGCTTCACGTTTATATTTAAAATTACCTTGATATTTTGTAACATTATTCCAGCAAATTTTTTTACAGCCACTTTTTTTACAGCAAATAAAAATGTACTTTATTCTTTCCAGCCCTTTGTAAGACCACATGCTATCGCTGTATGCCCATTTGGCACAGCCCTTTATGTATCAGAGATTGGACCGAACAAAGTATGGAGCTTTAATCTAATATGAATTTTACTAACGTAAAAGTTAATCAATATTATTATCTTCATAATTTGTCGTCTAATCTCATTTGCCTGATTATGGAGAGAATCAGAGATCAAGTTTACAAAAAACAGTAATCCATTACTCACTTTGTTATGTCACACATGTTAATGTTATATTGACATTATTAATAATTTTATTTTCTATGAGATCTTAATATAATTTATTGTAAAAATTTTAAAACCTTATTGTTAAAAAAATAAATAAAAATATGTATTTATTTTGAAAACTTGTAGCGAATCTAACAAATACATTATTTATTCTATATAATATTATCTATTCAAAAATCGAGAAAGATAAAAGAGAATTTTTTAATTAAAAATATCACTTGTCTTCAATGTTTAAAATTTGTTTTAAACATTGAACACAACTAAAATATATAAATTTTAACAAAAGCCGGGAGATATTAGTAAAATATTAGAAAGTAGGAATCAACTTACCAAAAATTGAAATTCGGGAAAAAAGATATATTCTATTGATTCAACGAATTCGTCTTCTAAATTCAGATTGAGATTTAAATCGCTATTCTCATTTATTCTTTCACTGTTATTTACTGTTATCGTTTTGCGAACAATCAACAATTTTGTCGCCCACCATTTTATAATCAATGAATAATCAGTTGATAATAGTTTCGTATAGCTGACTTGTGTACATACACAATGCTAGTTTTCATGTTAGTTTTTATGCAGTTTCATAGCGCTGCACTACGTGCTGCTGTGATACAAGCATAAGAGCGTTGGAAGTTGGCTTTAACGTATAATTGCTTTACGCGAGTCGTGAAGGATGGCGACTACTAATTAAAAAGCGCTATTTCTAGTTATCTCTGGTAAGACGGAGTACTCGTGACGCTCGTGACTGGTGACGGGGCATTTGCGACGCATTGTAGAATGGCCCTTAACCTGTAGTTTGGCAACTCTGCAAGAGATCACATGGCACAATTTGCTATTTCTCGTACATTGATATACACTGATTAACTGATTGTTACAAAATGGCAGGCGATAAAATTGTTGATTGTTCGCAAAACGGTAACAGTGAACGAATAAATGAGAATGGCGATTTAAATCTCAATCTGAGTTTAGAAGACGAATTCGTCGAATCAATAGAATTTATCCCTTGTCCTGAATTTCAATTTTCAGTAAGTTGATTCTACTCTAATATTTTACTGACATTTCTCGTCATTGACATGATTTTGTTAATAACTTAATATTGTTAATATTTTGATTGTAAAAAATTTGATTAAACATATGTAACATTTATATTTGCATTTGCACATAATGTGTAGTGTTATATTTGTATATATATGTATATTTTGTATATAAGATAATTATTTTTAATTTTAGACAACAGCATGTAACATTTGTAATGGATATTATGGACCATGTTTTGAGGAACCAGTCTGTGCAACCTGTCATGCATTCTTATTTCCAAACGATGTTGGTCTGCTGCAAGTCCCAATATTTAGCGAGGTATAATAGGTGTTATACAAGATATTTTGTAAACTGTATTATTTTACTTAAGTGCTTCTTAATTTAAAACAGAAAACAGATGATGAAGATTCAGGAAATGATGAACCAACTGATCTTTATTATAATCATGAAAGAAGGACTAGTCAACAACAGCAAAATTCTCCACAGAGTGTCAATCCTAACATTTCAAACGCACAGCAAAACGCACAACAGAATGCACCTAATCACAACCCAAGTGTTTCCCGCAGATCTTATGCTCAGTATCAAAATATAGCGCCTTCGTGCAACTATACATATCACGCATTGCAAAACAATTCGAATAGTGTTTCTGCTGACAAGTGTATGACATTTGAACGAAACGCATCGATTGAACCTCGCGATATGAATCTTGATCTGCAAAATATGATCTGTCGAACAAGAAGCTGTCATCAAAATTGCAGCAATAGAAATAACTCGAATGCGCAAGCTCATTACGCGCAAGATATGATGGAAGAGAATCTACGGGGAACACTGGAGATGCCAAGACATGATGGCCAAAATAATGAACATGTAGCCAATGCTGAACAATATCACTGTAACTACAGGATGCATGATGATGTCGGTGAATCATCGCAGTCCTACAATCTGTCGGAGAGACTGGAAATACTGTCCAATCATAAGCACATTGAGCACGAACCCATCAACGAACCCGGTCTTGTAGAGAGATTACCACCTGAAGTTTTGCTTGCCATTTTTTCGCATCTTGACGACATCAGCCTGTGGTCAGCAGCAAACGTTTGTCGACGGTGGTGCGGCTTGCTATCAACACACGTGACGCAGTCGCAATGGAAGCAACATGTGAAGCTACGCTGGCCCCTTTACAAGCCCATTGGCTGCGTTAAGAATTGGTATAAGGTGTATGATTATCTAGCTTCCTCGGCGCCATGTCGCACTTGCTTGGCACAGACCTCTCTGCGATCAAGACCACCAAAGGATGGAAGAGAACTCTTGGCGAAGGAACAGATTGCGTAGCGAACTGAAAAGTTTAAGAATTGACCCACCTGAGGGGATTGAAGCAATGCCACTTGATCATATGAGCTGTCATTGGCAGGCTACTATCACAGGACCAGTGGGAAGTCCGTATGAAGGGGGATTGTTTTATTTACATATACAAGTACCATTCAGGTATGTATTAAAACTTGTAGAGAATTTATTACAACAATCTTCCATTCCTTTAACTATAAAACATTTGTTATACATATTAATATTTAATACATATATTTTGTATTCTCCAGTTATCCCATGTGTCCACCTGTGGTTAGATTTTTAACAAAAATACTTCACCCGAACGTGTCTAGACATGGGGATGTCGGTATAGATTCTATACATCATAATTGGTCATTGGCTCTTACAATATCTAAAGTTCTCATTAGTGTACAAAGTCTTCTTACAGATCCATATTGTCAAGTAAGTGCATTTAACTAATTTGAAAAATGTGTGAAGTATAATTTTATTTTAAATAATAAAAACTTTTAACTAGCAAATTACAAATCCATAAAGTTATATGAAAAGAATTTCTGAAAAACTATATAAATTTTATATCATTGCAGGATTAAAAGTCATAATTTGAAATTATTGCTAATATATAATTCATGTATATAGGTCTGCATGGAACCAGAACTAGGAGAAATGTATATGAATGATCGCGAAAAGTTTGAAGAAGTGGCTAGAGCATGGACATGGAGATATGCGATGCACGATGTTGTGACGCCGCTTTAGTACATCAAAATGGATAAATTACAATCAATCTGTGTAATTGAACAGAGTATCTAGACATTAATTAGCACATAGATATCTAAGGTATTTAATAAATCGATAATTTGTGATATATTATATTAAGAGATGTATAATGAATAAATATATACATTTTTTTTATAGAAATTATTTCTTAATCGCAATTGTTAATAATAAAATCAGAATCAATCAGAATTTATTATAAAAGATGCGTATTAACATTTTTTACATTGTTATTTCACTTTGTGCCCTTGTAAAATAATCAAGAAAAATTTCAGTAATACATAGGAATCTAAAAAAGTTTTGAAAAATTCTTAATTTTTTTATATAAAATTCTTTCACTTATTTTGCTATAGTTTTTAAATAAATAATGAGATTTTGTTATTCAATTTATTATTTATTATTTAAAATTAAAATTTTAAACTAATTAAGGAAACGAAATGAAGCACCTTGTACATGATGGCAGATCATTGATTGACTAACCTATGAAATCGCGTGCTCAACAAACAATATGGTCTCGACGTAATGTTATAGATTTAGTTAAACGTTAATAGATAAAAATTACTGTGCTAGGTTGCGGAAGAAGCCAATATTCAAGAAAGTTAAAGGAAAATATTTCGACGAAAACCGGGTATACAAAATTTGAACCGCGGCGTCTCGGATCGTGATTCGCTCCGACCGACTAACGCAAATGACAGTTATGATTTGTGTGACAACGTAAAATGTTATTACTGAGGAATTTCCCGTTTGTGCAATGGGTTCCGATCTTGATTTTCACCGTCGTGTTAATTTATCAACGGCTGGAAATTGCCGAACTGAAGGAGAAATGTCTACGTATGCAGACATAACCTTTATACGTGCATGTGATCATATCTAATCTCTCTTGGTTTACCCACGATGCAGGAATAACACAAATAATTCCTTTGTGCTTCCAGACGATGCCGCACAAAACGTAGAAGTACGAAATGACGCTAAAAATGGCATACGCGCTGAAGCGCGAAATGACGAGGATGCTCTGGAAGACATGGTCGTGATATACAATAGAGTACCCAAGACTGCCTCTACTAGTTTTGTAGGATTAGTTTACGACTTGTGCAAGCAAAACAAATATCATGTTTTGCATATTAACGTGACCAACAATATGCACACCCTTACTCTCACTAACCAGGTTACATGTGTCCATTATATATTCAAAAAATTTATATAATGTTTAAGTCTCAATTCCAAACATCATAATCTCATTGAAAAACTTAATTATTTATCAACATTTATAATTACTTATCAAAATCCATTTTTGCTTTGGTATAAATTATATGATAGCATTTTGCAGTTATAATAGATAAGTTCTATTAATCAGAGATATTATATATAGGTTCAATTTGCAAATAATATATCAAATTGGAACGCTATAAAACCAGCATTTTATCATGGACACATGGCGTTTCTAAATTTTGAGAAGTAGGTATAAAATAAGATTTGTATTTATTTTTCACGATAACTAAATGTTCTTATTTTGCAGATTTGGTATTAAACGTACACCTTTATATATAAATTTATTAAGAAAACCTTTGGATAGATTTGTATCATATTATTACTTCTTACGATATGGAGATAATTTTAGACCTCATCTTATAAGAAAAAAGCATGGAGATACAAAGGTTTGTATACCAAAAGATTACAGAAATACAGGTAATAAATTCATCTAACTGATCAAATTATTCCATTTCTTTAGACATTTGACGAGTGCATAAATATTGGTCAACCTGACTGTGATCCTAATAATATGTGGTTACAAATTCCATTTTTGTGCGGTCACGATCCAGCTTGTTGGTAAATTTTCTTTGTTTTTATAAAGCTTTACAAACAAAGAGAGCTTTGATAAAAAATTATTTTTTAGAGTTTATATTTCTTAATTAGATATTAAAATATACACAATAATTATTATTAATATACAACAAACAGGGAAGTTGGTAATAGCTGGGCGTTAGAGGAAGCCAAACGAAATCTGCAAAAGCATTATTTCTTAGTTGGAGTAACAGAGGAGTTAAATGATTTTGTGGAAGTATTGGAAAATGTATTACCACGCTTTTTTAAAGGAGCATACAACTTCTTTTTACACAGTAAGTATTCATGAAATCAAGTATTTATTAAAAGGTTTTCAAGATGTAGCAATACATAATTTTCTTTTTATTACATTATAAGTTAATAAAATTCATAAAACATCAATATTTTCTTTGATTTCAGACAACAAGTCACACTTACGACAAACTACTCAAAAACTCAATCCATTGCCTGAGACAATAGAGAAGATTCAAGAATCGGTTGTGTGGAAAATGGAAAATGAATTGTATAATTTTGCTTTAGAACATTTTCATGCAGTGAAAAAACGACTCATAAATGCTTCCCTTCAAGATGCAAATCAGCGCTTTATGTATGAAAAAATACGGCCAAAATAAAAAAAAATCTACTTTTTTACACAAAACTTTACTCAAAAACTAATATAACATTGCAAATTTACTTTCAACATTTCTCTGGTAGATTATTACTGAATGTGTATTTTACACAATTGCAAACCAGTTAACAATTTTTTTTATGAAATTATAATACTCATTTTCTTTTTGTACATAAATTGCACGAGATAGAAGTTTTTCTCTACAGTATTATTTTTAAAAAAATCACAGTTTATAAAAATTGAAATAATTTATATTGGTCTATCTAAAAGTATATCACTTAAGTAATAAATAATTGTTAAATATTTGATTCATACATTTACACACTTGCTAATTCACTGCCATAATTTCTTGGTCTAAGGGCAAACATATAAACTGGATATAAACCACGTGGGAATTTAGTCTGCTGTTGTTCCTTAATGCAAATAAGATCAGCTTTTTCAAATAAAGATAGCAAGGTTTGCATTGATCTTGTTATAGAAGAATCTTCTTTGTCCATTTCCAAATTATTTGAGCTGGTAATATTTTCTTTCACCACAAGAATACCATTATTTTTTAAGCCCAATCTACAAATTTAAATTACAAGATGAGAAATAATACTTCATTCTCCTTCTTTGTGATAGAGTAACAGAACTTACGAGCATTTCTTGAAAAATTTTATTAAATCGTCGTCTTGCAAATGCCCCAATACCCATTGACACCATATAAGATCATATTTATTTGCCACAGGACAAAAATTTTGCAGGCCTTAAAAAAACAAACACATTTATATATCTGTTTTATGTTTGAAATATCACTTATAGATAAATATATTACCTATAGGATAATACTGGCCGATTCTTGAGGAATGGTTTTCCAAAGAGATTTTTGCTACCTCTAAAAACTTGGGATTTTGCTCCACAAGGTCTACATGTTTAAAAAATTTTATTAATAAATTCCTGGTAATTCTACCGATACCCGCACCACAATCTAAAGCAAATGCTTTGGAAGGTGAGTTTTCTAACTGAAATACATCGATTGATTACAATTCGTAATATTATTTCCATTTAATTCATATTTATTTGTTTAATTTTTTATCGAGTATGCAAATTTATTCAGTCGTAACAGCAAATTTGCGAAGTTAAAAGATAGATTTGGTTAGAACATAACTGTATATACCTCGAAGAGAGATTTTAGGAAGAACATCGAGCCTCTTATGTCTGTATGGGAGATAAATCCGAAACCTCCCAACATTCCGTCTAATGTCGGTGGAATACGATCCCAATATTTTGCGGCATCGGTATAAAATTCGCCCTGACATGTGTTTACCTCGTGTTCCTGCATTTTCGCACACTGCATTGTACGATTATTCACGACTATTGTACGCTATGCTTTCGCTAATATATTTAATCACACGATTCCCGTTACAATCAATATAGTTTAAGATATATCACAAATTTGTATTAATTTCTAAATAAAAATCTCAATGCACTAATTTTTAAAAAATAAATAATTTAATGCCTATTATTGACGAAATGACTAGCTGAAAATTTTCAGAGGTTATGGTACACACGTTGTTCAGCAAGAAAGCCGAAATAAACTAACTGATGGGATAATATATTGATAGGAGTACATACATACATTGATTGAGTCTTGAGATAAAAAAAAAATCACTTTCATCAATAAACGCGAGATAATTAATATTAGTTCAAGAATTTGATCTTATGTCAATGTCTGTTTTTTTATTTTGTTTTTTATTTATAATAGATATCCAAGAAAAGTATCATAAAAAATAAGTTTATTACCTATAAATATGTTTATTTTTTAGTCAGTTATACACTTCTATGATTAGTTTAAAATACTTTTTTATTTACTATGTACTATATATATTATATAGGCTATATAAATAAATAAACACATATTTTAAGGCCAATTTAAAGTTTTATTTAATTCTTTGTGATATATTTCAATAAAGAGTACATAAAGATAAGAAAAAAATTTTTATAATTTATTTTTATATTACTGAAGAAATATTTATTGTACCATATTGAAAAATATTTATACTGCAATAATTATAATAATAAAACAATATGTTGCACATATATCATTTTATTAGACATTCTACAAAAATGAAAATATAAGCAAATTAAGAAATCAATTTCTTAAAACCAATTTTTGTCAACTGCAATATAAACTAACTGAAATATGAATTAGATCATATTTTTTTCTTATATTGCAAACAGAAGTATTTATATAATTAAATTGTTATAATTTATTTTTTACTTAATGCATAACACATAAAAGAAATAAATGTATTTTTAAGTATACGTTTACGCCCGTAAAGAAACGAATTGATGGAATACGTCCAAAATATGAGGATCCAAATCTGGAGTGAAAAGCAAAGTTTCCAATGTTGAAGAGTATTTTTGTACTTGCTCTTGATGCTGTAAAATTAATAGAGATATTCAAACATTTTGTAATTGTAATGCAAAAAAAAGCAAACAAAAATTATAATAAATATTGATATTCTTCATAAAGTAAAATATATTTAATATTGCAATAATAGGTAGAACTCACGGATAAGAAAACTTGTTGTAATCTCCCAACAGTCCATTTATACCAATGCGTATTGTAGTCAATTCCATCTGTGTCGCAGCGCACTAAATGTTCCGAGAGAATCATTATAAACCGCTGAAAGAAAAAAATATATAACGATATAAATCTTATATATACACAGTGCATTTAGGAATTCTTATATGTAAATAATAATTAAAAAATACTACTTATCTTTAATGATAAGTAACACTTCTTTATACCTGAAATATGATGAGAAATAAATTTTTCTGATCCGCTTGTGCAGCTTCCAATTTCTCTTCCATTCGTTCTACTACATCTTCAGATGGCCTCTCCCTATTTCTATCCTTGTTATTGTCTTCGTCTTCCGAAGACGAGCCTGACCTACTTTCCGCTCTTCTTAATTTCTCCCTGGCCTCTGCTAACTCTGTACTCAATTTTGTCACATGTTTATTCATTTTACGTATTGTCAAATGCAGTATTTCCCAAATATACAACCTAAAAACAAAAAGTTCCCCGATTTTTGTATTACCATTTTCTGATATATTTTTTTGCGTAATATTTTGCTAATAATTTTATAGGAAATAGATGAACACATTTTAATAAAATACAAAAATAAAACGAACTTTGTGAACTCTGATGCCATCTCTTTGGAAAATATCCAGTTAGCGATAGCACTGCACTCAATAATACCGGTTTTTAAAAACTTATCCGTTAATACTACCATCATTTGGTAATGATTCTTCCACAATGCATACATGTTTCTTAATATACATATTTGTGCTTCTTCTGTTTCAGCAAGTACCTGTAAACAAAACATACTTGTATAAAAAAATGTACATGCATAGAAATATATAAGCATTTAAAATGAGAACAATAATTCTAACTCACCTTGAAAACGTAATGAAACTTAACTATAGCTGCAAAACTGTGACTGAAACTTTTCGAGCCGAGATTCAGTAAAGTTTGTACAAAAACATCGATCTTTAAAGGATTGTAATTATTCGTCTCTTCATTTTCTTTAGGGCCTGGCAATGTATTTAATACATTTAATACTTCTTCTGGTGTGCATTTGCGTCTTATAGAAACTACCAATTCATGTGCTGCAACTGTACCAGGAAGTGAACCTGAAATAGTTTGTTTAGTATAAAAATCTTTTTTGTCAGATGTCACTATCAAATAATAATTAAAAAATAAGTTGTCATTTTTCCACAAGGATGACTGAACTGCACAGTCACTTGGGCTTAGCAAATCTATAGACCTGAGCTCACACACACTGTGGTCATACATATACATATACATTTACGCTTACACACAAGTGACTAAGAATTTTGCAACAAGAGAAATTATTTAAAAGTGCAAATAAAGTACAAAAAACTTTGCAAAAGAGTGTGCATTTGATTGGCAAGATAGATTTGATCCTAATACCATTAGATTTCTATTCCATTATTGCATACTTACTGGCACCTTCAGATGAATATTTGTATACAGGATCTGGAGTTACCGGAATCAAATCCACATACGTGTCTGGCATCATATCTCGAATCCTTTGATAATATGATAACCTGAAAGTGTACAAATTTTACGCATGATTTCACTTTCAAATTTTAATAATGGGCAACTATGATAGTTGTCTCAATTACGTGAAAAATATTAAATTATATTCTACAAAATAATATAATTTAGATAATCAAATTTATCAAAAGTATTGGGTTGTGTAATAAGTAATTTCAGAACTTCCAATACAAAATTTATTGAAAAATCCGAAATTACTCATTACACAACTCAATAATTTATGACATACTGACCTCAAAGCTTTCAGCAAAACTTCTCGTATAAATTTTGGTCTTGGATGTTCTGAATCACGTTGCAAGCAGGAATCCCAATCTTCCCATGACCAACGAAACTGGAAGTTACTTAAATGATAAGCAAACCACCAGACAAAACGGTCAAAAGCAGTAGCTGCCATACTGTCTATACGACGAAATAGAATTTCTGTGGCTTGCGCTAGTACCTAAAATTTAAAATCTTATTTTATAGCATTTCACTATAATGTCAAATAAAATGTTAAATTTTTTTATAACCTGTGGCATAGTTGAAGGTTGCAACTTGCAGAGTTCTATCAAAATTGAGCCATAAGAAATCTCTAAATGTTTTGGAGTAGGCAGTCTGAACAGTTCACTGAATATCACTTCAACTATACAATAATCTAAGGGAATTTTGGCCTTGAATGGGAAGTTCAATAGTTGTGCAGCACTGCAAAGTGAAAATGATTAATAGTCCATGTAATTTGGAAATAAAAATAATAATTGTAGAAAATTTTATATATATATATTACCAATCTTTTCTTTCAAAATAATAATTATTAATTATCTGCCGCAAATGCTCTTCTATTAGGAATCTCTCGATAGCATGGCTTCCTGGTAATAATGGTCCTTCAGCAGGACAATCAGTATAATCAAACATACGAAAAACAACAGTAGGCAATGGATAGGAATAAGACTCATGATGTGGTGGTGGCATTAAAGGCGGCAAATTATGTTGCAATGCTTCACACAGAATTGAATCAAACGCAAGATATGGTCGTGGAATATGTTTCTCAGCCCAATTGTCTTGTCTTAGCTTACGAACTTGTGCCCATAAGCAATCTAGATACTCCTCTTGGGGATGAGGTGTATCACTTGACCAAACTCTTAACGCTGGCTGATGTTTCTTACTTCGTTTGTTCAAAAATATTTCTATTGTGACCATTAAGTGATCCAATTCTTGTTCCTTTTTCTCATATAATTCTCTCCCAACCCATGGCAATGTCGATAGAACAGCGTAAACATACCTGTATTATTATTTATAATTATTAGAGAAAGCAATTTAAAGATTATATAACTTTAGTCCATATAATGAAGTTTTTTTACATACCAGTCACGTCTTACTTGTGGTACACCATCTTCATTTGCAGCATCCAGCATATTATCAAACAATTGCATCAATGATCCACATGATAAAACATGACAGTTTACTAAATCAGCTAGAAATCTGAGAGAATATCTAGCTACATCCCATTTGCATGCTTTCAGTGAATCTTTGAAATTTTTTACCATATAGTCAACAAATTCCCCACCAAAATTAAAATTTTTAGCATTCAGCAAACCAACAAGAGTGGTATAAATTGTGCACTTCTCTGGCATCTTAATAGCACAGTCTGTTAAAATCCGAAGAATCTTACTACGGAATAAACCCAGATCAGCTTCTAATACAGAAGCCAATCCTTCTAAGTTACTTTCCAAAGATGATGTTGATTTCTCTCCAACACGGAGAATAAGAGATTCAAGACGATCTTCAATCTCTTGATTCTCCGACACTCTCCTACGCTTTTTATATACTCTTTCTGAAAAAGAATACATTCATAGCTCTAAAAAATTGCTACTTAAGTGTGTAGATATATATTAAACATATAAACAAGTGCATAAATTTACATATTTAAATATTATAGTAGCATCTAAACTCATCTCTTTTCGACTTTTTTACACAGTAAAAGCAGAGAAAAATAGTAATCTTTATTTGATAGCTTTTACAGATTATTGTATATGTACATATGTATTGTATCTATTATTCAATTGTTTTTATATGATTATGCATAATATATTAACATATATACATATATTAATAACGATTTTCTATTCAAAATATAATTTTATTGGAATAAAATAATTAGTCAAAGTTGGTGAGTTGCAGTATCAGAAAAATCTTGACTGAAAAATATCGTTACTTACCGTAGCCATCATCTTCTTCGTGTACTCTTCTACGACTCATGTTTCATAGGCTACGTCTGATATACACTTTCAATACTGATAGTACTAAAATATCGTTCGTTATTAGCAGTGATTAACAGTTTTTAACACGCAATGCCGGAATCCACTGTAACCTATAACAGCATCTAAATGTCACAATCATAGACGTAGTAAAGCATAAGATAGGGATGCAATACAAGGTTAAGCATAAAAATAACACTCGTGGCACATACTTTTCGCGTAATCGCGCAACCAATCAGAAGCTTAATAAAAACGTAACGTTACGTCATTTCGCCTATATTAAGCTTCTAATTGGTTACGTATTAAGGTATATTCAGACAAACTTGCATAGATGCGTATGCATATGCATAAGAAAATGCCTTTCGAGTGGCGTAAAATATGACTTTAAGAACGCCGCAAATATTCTTTCTCCGTTTTAAGTGGCTTTAGGAATGCCATAAAATATATCATTGGAAAAGTATTAAACACTTCGTATATTTAAAACGAAATTGGATCAAAATAATCCGATTTTCTCGTTTGTCACGTAAGATCGGGTAGTGCGCGAGCAAGTTGTTATCTCGCGGCTGAATTTAATGCGTTTGCGCGCATTCTGGAGCGTCGCCATATATATCGCGCCCGCTGTGCATATCAAAGCAATTCGCCAGTGTTCGTCGGTGTGTTTAGTAGCGCGGTGTGTGCTTGGGCATATGCATGTGCCTGTGTGTGTTTCGCGACGAAAACAGAACTCCGATCGTCGCGGAAACACAGTCTGTCTCCTGTGACACCTATCGCGCAGTTACGTGCGTAACACAAAACAAACATCGACGGTCGGAGGCAAGCTGAGTGCCCGCGCGTCGCGAAGACGTGATACGGACGGGCGTGAAGTGTTGGAGCCGCGAGAGACGGGAATCGGTGTCAGTAATCGATATGACATTCGCATAACCCGCGTAATCATGGGTCGCCGTCCTGTCCGAGGGTCGTCGTCGTCGTTGCTCATAAACACGACGGACCGCGGCGATTCGATGAAGACGAAAGCGTGAAATGAGAGCAGTGTGCAGCAGGAAATCACTAGTTCGCAATTAGAGGACTTCTTTTGGAGAGGAAAAAAAAAAAGAAGAAGAGACGGCAAGAGTGCTGCTGTGTTTCCAATAGAGATCAGACATTCATAGAAGAAGCGGAAAGAAGAAGTGGAAGGACTCAGTCTTGCTCGCTGCTAATCGTGTGTACGTCGCGTCGTGCAGCGAGTCCGTACGGATGCGGAGAGTGCCACAATGGTGATTCGGTAAATAATCAGTATTATTTATCTTTTCCCAAAGCGAAGTGAGAGAAAGAAAGAGGGGGCGAGAAAGAAAGAGAAGCGAGAGAGCGAAAGAGAGAGAGAGAAAGAGAAAGATGTGTACGTATGTGTGAGAGCGGTCCTCCCCCGCGCGCGGTCGATAGCATTGCATGACAATCGTGTCACACCGATCGACGTGCCGCAGTGCACCGTACGATTTCCCTATCTGCAACCGATACTGCGTCGTGTGGCGCATATATAGATACATTTCTGCGTGTGTGTTTTGCGTATTTACCAAATACAGGACACGGTTGCCGAGGTCTTCTCGACGCCTTTAAACGCTACCGTTCGAACCACGTCAGAGATGCTTGTCGTGCCGTGAAATTGACTGGTGCACTGGATCGCTTGTTCATCCTCGATTAACGTCACCGTCCCACGTTGGCTTTTGTTTATGCGCCCACTATTCAGCCCATCGCAACGAAGTGCATGTAAATGCGCAATAACAATTGCTCGATAATTTTGTTAGCATTTAATAATCGGACCTGTTCTCTTTAGTCCACCGCACACAATTTAGTATTACCTCTGTTTTCTTTCACAAAAATAATTATCTCTTATTTGTTTGCTCCATTTTTAATGCAAAAAGGCAGTGCAGTACTGGAAAGTGCAGAATTTATCGAATTAACAATGTATGTGTAATAAACAAGAATTATAATTCCAGTGGATCCAATTTTTAACGCGATAGATGTGTGCAAAGAATTTTGTAACAATTGGAGAAAGATCGCACTTATCTGTCGCAAAATCGAATTTGATAAAGTTATATCGATTTTTTATTCTTTGATAATAATATAAAAATCGTAAGGAAAGCACATCGCAGGACTATCCTTGAGAATACGATTGTTAATAAAAATTGTTTTACGACCGATTGCGAAAATGATAAAATTTTCGAAACGTCAGGAATGCAATTGGCATTGTTTAAACGATTACGAAAGATATGTTTACATTATGCGCGATAAGTACACTTTCGTCTTAATTTGAATGCCTGCTGACATTCTTGCTGTAATTGCTTATGCGTCAGTTAATAGCTTGCTAATGTAGTAAGCTGAAAGCTACGATAGTTATCTTGTTGTGTACAGCATGGACACACTTTATTTCAAAGCTTTACTGAATGATTTTATTGTCAATCATGAAACACGATACCCATGAAAAATGAATAGTGAAAAGAAAATGTAGATTACTAACTTTAATTAATTTTTGTTAACTAATTAATTTCAATTAATTTTTGTTATTAATTTTAATTAATAAATCGACTTAAATAAGGCAATTTTTGTATATCAAAAAATATTAATCAAAGTTTGAGCAGATGGAAGGAATATACAAATTACAGCAGTCGTAATAGCCCATTTACATATGTGTATAGGTATCTGTAGAGAAAATTTGAGGATGATTAGATGGAAACACTTTTTATTCACATTATTAAACAATTCGATTTAATTTACGAACATTAAGAAGAAAAGTACGAAACAAAAAACCAGCAGCGTTGCCAAGAGTCGTAATAAAATAATAAGTTCCATTTTTATCTTTTTAATATAACCTGAATTTAATTTAAATGTATAATAAAAGTGGGCCAATGATAAATGTTTGAGTTTGTATTGTACGCTTGAATCATAAATTTGACCTCTTCAAATATGTTGAAACTTTGAATCTGTACGTTGACTAATTTATATTGATCAAAACGTTATGTCATCTGAAATAAACATATAAATACGAGCACGAACCTCCAGCATTGGTCTAATAGCTCACTTTTTATTATACACTTTGATTTGATTAATAAATAGGACCACATTCATAGGGCTTTATATTATTCGAATTCAATTATATCGACTACTTATTTATCAAAGCATATGTGATATTAGAATGATTATAGGGATAGCTACGTGATAGCGCGAAAGCCAAGAAAATTTTGCCGATTTTTGCCAATAATAATTACCAATAGTCATTAAGGGAAGCAATTAAGAGGCAACAGTAAAGACGGGCGATTACACGTGCATTTTCACGGATACCGAAAAATTCTATTACGCAAAAACCGCATTACAAACTTACTCGCGTGAATAAATAAAAAAAAAAAAAAGAGAGGAAGCTCTCAATTTTATGATCCTTATTTTGAATATTTCTCATTGCAGATCATAATTACCAATTCGCAGCTTGCCGCGTATGCAATTGCTCAGATTTGTCTGCAACCGCGTGAAGATCCTTAAGACTGCCCGTCCTTACCAAGTACCCTTTCAAGTACCATGGAAGTAGTAGTCTATAAATCCCACTGAAAGGAGGATGCCAGTAACTAAACGCATTCCATACCCTTCGCGGTAAGTAAGTCTACGGTTTACGTATTACGTAATGTAAAAAGCCGCAAGGAAAAGCTATCTCTCTGTCTCGTTTTGCGTTCACGGCATTGCTTTCATGATCAGATGCGATTTGAATTTTTTTTTTTTGGAACATACACGTTTGTAAGAAATACGCGAAAACATATCGTGCTGTCTATGCGAAACACGAAAATAAGAGCTTTTGCAAAAACAACTGCGTTGTAAAATAAAAGGAAAACGCAATCTAGCATACAGATCTACTGTACAGTATGGACGATGTGTCGAGTGCTTTATTCATCAGCAAAAAAAAACCTTGCTGTTATCTTTAAATAATGCGGGATATGGAAAAGAGCTTTCAAAAGTGCAAAAAAAAATCGTCTGCCTGACTGAATTGGCTGGTTTTCACGGGTACATTAACAATATTAAGTCACGTTGACGTAAGAATTCTGAAAATACTGAAACTTTGCTACACAATCTTTCATATGTTTGATATTTTTTTTTTCTTCTGGTATCAGGAAGTATTTCCAGTTACAGACATCCTTCTGTTCAACAGTTATTAACATATTAATCCCGTTTCAATTCCCAATGGAACCTCCTTTTCTTCCTGGTGGAAGTTACAGTCACGCAAGGTTACTGAAATACTCAGGGAATGAGTATAATTTGTACAGTTTAGTGCAAAGTGCTCCATAAGATTATATTCATCCTCCATTTTACTCTTACGATCTCCTAACTAGGGCTGTTATGACTGCATTGTTTCTGTCTAAGGATTTTTCTTCTCCTCTTGCAATATTAAAAATCATAATAAGAGAAAAAAGTTAATTGCTTCATGGGCTTAGTTCATAGAATATCACTGCGTTTATTTATACGAAATCAGTTATTTTGCAAAGAACTAATTGTGTTATATTATTGTATGTAAAGTGACACTATCACACATAAATAATTTTTGTCACACATAAATAATTTTTGTCAACCTCAAACATTAAAAAAGAAAATAATTGCTTGAATCTTCTGATAATTAAAAAATTATTCAATACTCTAGAAACAATGATATCTTTTAATTAACTTTAACTTTAACATTCTTACTATTGCATTAATTTCAATTATTAATTTATTTGTAGCGAATGTTTAATTTGAAGCTTGATTATTACTCAAGTACTTAATATTGAAAAATATTGCATAACAATAAATTGTGATGATGGGAATTATCACCTTACATGCTCAAATAAAAAAAATAAATATATATATATATATATATATATACACATCTTGTGTGTTTTATATTAGATCTGACGGCGGTAGTAGTGAGAGCCCATTGCTCGTAGAAGAAGGAGAGACGGTCGGCGCACCTCACAGTCCACGCAACATACACAGTCACAGCCATTCACATGGCAATCCACATCGGTCTCACAGTTATCATCATGAGAAGCCAAAACAAGTAGTGAAATACGGTGAACTAGTTATACTTGGGTGAGTTTTCCCAGCAAAAAAAAAGAATACGAAAATTATGTATAATATAAAGTAGAAAACTGGCGAAACGTTGTAACTAACGAATCCTTTGAATTTTTTTCAGATACAATGGTTACCTTCCACCTGGTGATAGGGGAAGAAGGAGAAGTAAATTCGTATTATACAAAAGATGCGTGCCAAACGGCGTTAAGCGTAGCAAACACTATATCGTTAAAACGCCCCATAGTTCGCAAGCCATTCTCAATACAAAGCAGCACTCGATTTCGTACACACTTTCCAGAACACAGGCCGTTATTGTCGAATATACAGGGGATGAGAAGACAGATATGTTTCAGGTAAGTCTAGATATTCTATGAGTAATATAATTGATTAAATTTTCGTCAAATTGTTTTATCAAATTATATTTATTAGATAAATTTGTTCGACAGATCGGCCGTTCGTCCGAGTCGCCCATTGACTTCGTAGTGATGGACACGTATGCCGGCGGTGCCGACGGCGGGCCCGCTAACGAAGGACGCGTCGCACAGAGCACCATCAGCAGATTTGCTTGTCGGATCTTGGCGGATCGATCCGATCCCAGAATCGCCAGGATTTACGCCGCGGGCTTCGACAGCTCGAGTAACATTTTTTTAGGGGTAAGATTCAAAAAATCTACGATTGGTCGTACGATTCAATATGTCGTATGCAAACATTATTTTTGCTATTAACGTATCATTAAACAAATTTATTTATTAATAAATAAATGAGTTTCCTCAATTAGAAGATATTTTATAAATAATTTTTTTATAGGAAAAGGCAACTAAATGGCAGGAAAATCACGAGATTGATGGACTCACAACAAATGGGGTCTTGATAATGCATCCACGGGGTCAGTTCTGCGGCGGTGAGGCGCAGTGCGGTTTCTGGCGAGAAGTCAGCGTGGGCGGAGGAGTATTTTCGCTCAGGGAGAGTCGGAGCGCTCAACAGAAGGGTAACGTCGTGGAGGATGAGAACAATGTTCTGCAAGACGGCACCCTCATCGATCTCTGCGGCGCTACATTACTCTGGCGATCGGC